TCCCCACTGACTTTGATCTAGAATAGACGATTTTTGTTTGACGTTTTGCAAATAGCGAATTATATTAAGACTATCCTCGTTATCTTGCGGGAGAGAGACGCTCAATGTACTTAGATAATTATTTATGAGAAACACGTTATTATTTATAACTCCTACAATTGTTAATTCTTGGGCGTTGAAGCGATGATGCAACGGGCTAAATTTAATTTTAGAATTTTTACTGTCATTTTTTGATCCGAATGAAGTTGATAATTTTGTCGGGTATTTTTATTTTTTATAAGTCTTTCCAAATATTTTTATAGCATTTTATATTTTTTATTTATAGTAGTTGGTACGAGTATTGTTTTATATTTATTATACACGATTTCAAGTAATCAATACGAGTATTTGTACTACATTTATTATTTACACTTCCGTGTAATTAATACAAGTATTGTATAAGTTTGAACGTACACATTTTGAAAGTACTTTGAACATTAATCGAAATGTTGAACTTTGTATATTATTTTTGCAATCTACGAAAGTTAATCTACCAATATGTGACGCTCCCATGAATTCTGATGATCTGTTTCGTATAATTTGCTACAACGTGCACACAAAGAGAAAAATATTAAAAATGGACGCTCGGACTTCAACAATCTTTAAAAAAATAAAATACGTATCACCGCTATATCGATGTACCTGCATTTATTTAGTTTACTCATACTGTTGTATAACGATATTTAAAAGACTATTCATGAAAAGATGTGTTCATTCAAGTCGCTTGTATGCTTTCTGAACAAATATTCCGCAAAACACGAAGTCAAATCTTTCAAGTTGTTCAACGCTTGATTTACGGACTACTTATTCATTTAACCCGAAAATAAAGTAGCAATCTAAATAAATAGATGAAATAGAAACTACCTCATAAAATTATTTTTTATCTCGACAAAAGTCAATGTACACTTCTCAATAAAAAGCTTCTTAACAATTTCTGTAATTTAAAGCAAGAAATTTATGATGTGTCATTTTGACGAGTTCCGTAAATCCAGTGTTGAAAGAACTGTTATCAATCAATTATCATTGAGCGAAGCTCTTATACTTGACTTTACAATTTCTTTGTCCGCGTTTTTCTTTTGCACCACTCAACCAATTCTCATCAAATTTTGCACGCACACACGTATGTACATCTAGATGGACATAGAAAAAAAAAATTTTAAATCGGACGTACCACGGAGGAATAATCACCGAAAAGCCAGATCTCCGTAGACTTCAATGCAAAATTGAATTTGCTCGCGATTATGACACGGTTAGCGTGAAATTTACTCGCTCGCTCAACATTGTTAGGATAGGCGCGTAGCGCCTCAATCAAACAGACCTAGTTTATTCCTACACGAATCACTGAGAATTGTAAAAACCAAAGTGGAAACCATGAATTATGTAAGTACAATGTATTACATCGATGAATTTTTAGAAAAGTACTTGTTAACAGCGTAATCGGTTATCTCACAACGATCAAATATTAAAATATGACCCAAACCAGTATCAACACACCATACGTCGCGTCATTGATTTACAACTTTGTTCGCAATATATTAAATGTATTAAAGCTAACTTCCCTGCAGAAACTGTTCGATTCAGCTATGGTATTTGGTCCAAGCTATTCGTGAAGTAACCGTTTAGTCGGCGAAACGGTACTATTTATTATTTTACTGCTCTTCTATCGATCGCGCAGACGATCAGAAACATCGTTGAAAGCGCTCGATATTCTCACCCTGGAATTTTCATATAAAAATATGATTAAGAGAAGACTTGTCAAAAAGAAATTTGATCAATATTTATAACGTCATCACGCGCCAACAGTGATCTGATCAGTATTTTATTTTTTTAATGGTCATCGATTTTGAACGTCAATTTTTATATGCTGGTCATGCTGAATTAATTTAAAAAAAACTCATCAAAATTCATGAGAGCAACACACGTCGATTGTTTGATAAACTACGAAAGTTTTATTAAAAAATTTGATTATGCAATTTTAATCCAGGTATTTCTGTCGTAGCAGATGCTCTGAAGACAATTTTAAATTGACCGCGTAAATGCCAGTACTGACACCTGTTGTACGTATTATATAGCATTGTGTGTAGTATGTCTTAGGTATTGAGTAAGTTGTGACAGAAATTGCAAAAATAAATCTAATTGTGAAATTAATTTTGTGGAGTATCTGTTTAGAATTGCGTAATGTAGTATGGTCAATGTAACTCCTTGTGAACTGATATTTAGGAGAATTTGGAGATACGGAAAATTGAGCAATTGGATTTTTATAAATTTGAAAAATTAAAGATTTGGAAATTAAAAAGGTATGGAAATTTGGAAACTCGAAATTTTTGAGATTTGGAAATTTTTAATTTTTGAGATTTGGAAATTTGGAACATGGCAGAATTGAAAATAGGAGATTTGGTAATTTGGAAATTTAGAAATTTCTAGATTTAAAAGAATTCGAAAATAGGGAGAAATAAAAGAAACTTGAAAGTTTGAGGACTTGAAATGTTGAAAAAAAAGTTTAGAAATTCAAAAATTCCAAAATTTGAAAATTTCAAAACATGAAAATGTACAAACTCCTTGTGAAATTTTGAGAATTCAGAAAATTTTAAATTTTATTATTTCTTAAATTTAGAAACTTACAAAAGATATTAAAAGAATTATCCAACGTCGAATAAAATGTTCCCAACTTGAAGAAAGTCTAAAGAATTATTTCTCGAGAAATAGATTTCGGAGATAAAAAACAAAATTGTAGAACATTTTCGTTAGAAGAATGTAATATTTCGAAATACTTTAACGGAAAAAAGAAACAAACGGAAGGATCCAGATCGTTAAGTACGGTAGGTCAATAATGGCATGGGGGATGAATACTTCTGGGAGTCAATGTAATTGTTCTGACACAGCCACGCTTGGTGGCACAAATGTTCATGGCGCACACGATAACATCAAGATTACCCTTTTTTTTACGATGCACACCGTTGCCTATGAAATTAACGTTCGCATTATTCATGCAATTGTTGAATCTTTTTTATCTCGCGGCTCGTCCAGAAAACTGGAAACATTTTTAATTTAGTGGGTCGTTGTATATTAAATGGCTGATTTGAGAAATGGAAGGGATTTGATGATGTGGAGGTAGTACAAAATAATACTTGTATGACAGATTGATGACAGAAATGAGATGAAATGAACATTTATGATATATCAATTTGAAGTTTGAAATTAGCGCAATTCTATATTAAATTGGATATAGCGTATTGATGTAATAGTGCAATTGTATATGAATGCAGTTTTTACAATGATACAATTGTGTAATAACATTATTGCACAATAATGCAATTGTAAAATGGTGTAGTTGCATAGTAATTCGATTGTATAACAGTATAAATGCACATTAATATAATATTACAAGAGTACAGTTGCAAAATAATGCAGTTATACATTGGTGCAGTTGCTATAATGGTGCAATTGTATAATAACATTATTGCACAATAATGCAATTGTAAAATGGTGTAGTTGCATAGTAATTCGATTGTATAACAGTATAAATGCACATTAATATAATATTACAATAGTGCAGTTGCAAAATAATGCAGTTATACATTGATGCAGTTGCTATAATGGTGCAATTGTATAATAACATTATTGCACAATAATGCAATTGTAAAATGGTGTAGTTGCATAGTAATTCGATTGTATAAAAGTATAAATGCACATTAATATAATATTACAAGAGTACAGTTGCAAAATAATGCAGTTATACATTGGTGCAGTTGCTATAATGGTGCAATTGTATAATAACATTATTGCACAATAATGCAATTGTAAAATGGTGTAGTTGCATAGTAATTCGATTGTATAACAGTATAAATGCACATTAATATAATATTACAATAGTGCAGTTGCAAAATAATGCAGTTATACACTACTGCAAAAGTACAAGAGTGCAATCATATAATAATGCAATTGTACAGTCGCGTAAATGTATAATAGTGTAATTATATAATAATATAATTGTACAATAGTGCATTTTTATAGTAGTGTAATTCTACAACATCGCAGTTGCATAATAATGCAACTATATGATATAGTAACTCCACGCTAATGTAATTATGCAATAGTGCAATTATATAAGAATGCACCCGTGCGTTAAAAAAATTATACAATACCACAATTCCATAATAGTGTAATTGTATAACAGTGTAATTATACAATAGTGCAATTGTACAATGCAATTACAGAATAGTGCAACTGCATAATAGTGTAATTGTACAGCAATGCAATTGTATAATAATACCATTATATAACAAAGTAATTCTACATTAATGCAATTCTACAATAGTGTTATTAAACAATATAATTGTACGCTAATAAAATTGCATACTAGTGCAATTATACAATAACGCATTTCTGTACTAGTGTAATTGTACAACAGTGTAATTATACAATAGTGCAATTGTACAATGCAATTATAGAATAGTGTAACTGCATAATAGTGTAATTGTACAGGAATGCAATTGTATGATAATACAGTTATATAACAAAGTAATTCTACATTAATGCAATTCTACAATAGTGCTATTAAACAATGTAATTGTACGCTAATAAAATTGCATACTAGTGCAATTGTACAATGCAATTACAGAATAGTGTAACTGCATAATAGTGGAATTGTACAACAATGCAATTGTATAATAATACAATGATATAGCAAAGTAATTCCACATTAATGCAATTGCACAATAGTACTACTAAACAGCAATGCAATTATACGCTATAAAAATTGCATACTAATGCAATTATACAATAATGCATTCCTATAATAATATTAATTATACAATAGTACAACTCTCCATTGTTATAATCCTACACTAGTACAATTCTATGAAATAGAATTTCCTATTTCCATGAAATAGAAGCAGCTGGTTTAATATACCGTTATAAATGCACCTAAAATATTTGTCCTTTGATTTTGTGAATTTCAGGGAAGACGAAAGCTGTACATTCCGACGCAGGCTGCAGCAGAACACTGCCAGTGGCTTCGTCCTGGAACGGTCAGGATGCAAATTGTAACGGGAACAACAATGGCGGTAACAATCTAGTGAAAAGGGAACCGTTGCCCTCGGTTCCCTGCCAGGTAGCCGAAGTCTCGACGTCCCTTCATGCGACCACCACCTCTGTCAAAATAGAACCAGTCTCCTCGAAATCGGAAAATGGTGAGTGAATTTATTCAAATTTCTTCGACCGTACACGAAGTCACAAAAACTAACTCAGTGCACTGGAAAAAGTACAAACCGTCGCGGGGTGGAGGTGTCGCTCTATTAAGATATTTCTGTTTAAAATTTATTTTCTCGTTACTTTTTGCGACGAGTCAGTTATAAAATAATGAAATATGAACAATCGAGTAAAGTATAAAATAACGAAATGTGGAGAATCGGATGAAATGTTGAATATCGAAACATGGACAATTGTATAAATTATAAGGTGATGAAGTACAAACAGTTCAATAAAATATAAATAATGAAATATGGACGGTTGAATTAATTTAAAAATAATGAAATATGCAGTTGAATAAATTTAAAAATAATGAAGTATGAACAGTTATATAAATTTTAATAAAGTAAAATGGCCAGTTGGATAAATAATAAAATAATGAAATATGGACATTTGAAAAAATTATTAAATAATAAAATGTGGGTCACTGTTGTAGTAAAATTTGAATAACTGAGTTAATTAAAAAATAACTTGTAGAAAATTGAATAAATTATAACGTAACGAAATATGAAGAACTGGTGCATGATTTAATAATGAAATATGTATTATTGTCATAATTGAATACATTATGAAATAATACAATATGGACAATTCTATGAATTATAAAATAGTTATAAAATAATGAAGTATAAAATTAATTATAAAATAAACAATTGAGTAAATTTAAAAATAGTGGGATATGTACATGCAAATAAATTACTGAATAATAAAATATAAACAATTAAATATTAAACAATATTAAATATTACAATTAAATATATAATTAAATAATGAATAGTAAGCAGTTGAATAACTTATTAATACAGAGGTATATAAAATTGAATAAATTGAGTGAAATATAAAGAGTTGATAAATTCTAAAATTCTAAAATATAGAAAAGTGAATAAATTGAATAATAATAATATTCTTTGTAAACTTTAAATTGTAAAGAAACTATAAATTGTAAAGGTATGCACATATATTGTTACATAAATTGAATATTAATTAAAATGTGTGCGAATAATGGAAAATGAATTAACATAGAGGATTCATTGTTTAAACGAACGCAGTGAAATATCTAACAGGGAATTAAAACATGTACTTATTAAAACAGTGATTATTATAATTACAAAGTTCAAATTATTTTAAATTAAATTGTATTGCAAATATGCAATATAAGATGTAATAATAATATCTATAATATTATCTAATATCTATAATGTACATTTATATAATGTATTGCTATTCATTTCCTATTATTTTGATAAACAAAGACTATTTAGTTTGTTTATTCCGATAAACACGAAAAAACAATAAATTCAAACATTAATAAAATTATTAAAAATTGTTTTATTAGAAAATTCGAATACTCAATATTCAAATATTCAAAATAAATTCTCCCAAAAACCAAATTTCATAAAAAACTTCAATTACATATTTTATACTTTCTTTCTATGTAGAACTATCTTTCCTCTTGTACCACCAGTTACCGAACACTCCACATAATTTACATTCTATTTTGCAAAAATTCAAAGAAGTCCAAAAATAGTTACGAACCAAAGCAATGAATCTTTCGTTATGGTAAATCTTGCGATTCTTAGAACGACATTAACGGTTAAATATACACGGTTGCTAAAATCTGAAGAATTCGTGGATCATTAATAAGTTGTGACATGTGGTGAACAACGTTGACGTTGATTAGTTAAAATGTAGATATGAGGCGCAGACGAAGCACTTAGGCTGACGTTGTACAAATAGAACGATTCTGAACGGAGTTATACTTTGCAGGTTAAAGGTTAAGTCTTCATACTTTGAAAATATAAGCTTAAAACTTGTTGGTATATTTTTTAACCACCTTCCTTTTCTAACTATTATAATACTTATATATTTTGTATATACTTGATCTATTATATATTCATATATTTATTTATACATGTTTAGTTATTTACGTATATTTGGTTAGATTAGGTCATTGTATACTTGTACATTAGATACTTACATATTATGTACTACATACTTAATCTATTATACTTGGCCTAGCTCAAATATATATTAATTTCCTACTCAAACTTAAAACTCAGACGGTATCAAAAATAATGATATGCCTCATTTTAGTTCAACTGTTCTTTAACCTTCGTGCAACTCCATGTCTTTAATCCAAAGTGATATCTCATTTAGCAATCTTTTCGATAATCATTGAATAAGCATACCGCTTAATTCAGCGACAACGAGATTGATTTATGAGCTTCTGAGAATGATTCATTTTTATCAGAACATGATTATGGTGTTGTTAATCTAGTAGACACTATATGAAACAATAGAACCAAGCAATGATACAATTAGTTATAGAAGCAGTTAGTTGTAGAAATTAGAATTTTGAGTAAACAAAATGGAATATGCAGTGTAATAAGAGTTGTATTTTATAGAGATAGAGAATATTATACGGGTATTAATCTTTTCAGGCCCTTGGCCACATACAGCGAAGGACAAACGTATTCGCACACTTGAAATATAGAAATAAAAACATCAACATTTTCTATATTATTAAGTATATTTAATCATAGCTGTATATTTTACATAACACTTACAGTAACAAATGACCCAAAACTAACGGCAATAATATCATGTAGTAACTTGAAATGACTTGAAAATCCCGAGACCGTAAGAAATCGTCGGAACAAAAGTATTCCTACATTATCATTTATGTTAATAAATATAACAATTGCGATGGTATCCGGTCATTCTGATCGATGTAGCATTACATTAGATGATGTTCTGTTAGTGTAGTCAGTAGTAATCGTGGCGAGTACATTTTAACGCTAATATTGGCAATATGAGAAGAAAATGCAAAGAAACAACATTGGAAGAAAGAAAAATTGTTATATGGTTACGTGAAAAAGATGAATCATATAGGAATATATCAGAAATATTAAAAAGAAATTGATCGATTGTACGAAGTATTATAAGCAAGTATAAAAAAGGAATATTGCGGAATAAAAAAAGAACCGGTAGACCCCAAAAATTAACTACAAGGGAAGAGCGTAAAATCGTCCGAACTATTAAAGAAAAACCAGAAACCAGTGCATTTGAAACTGCACCATACTTTAAAGAATATACGCTGAAGGAAGTTCACCCTAAAACAATACGAAGAGTACTACATCGGGCTAGATATATGTACATATAACAGTAGAGTTACAAGGAAGAAATCACTCATAAGTAAATTAAGAAGCAGATTAGAATTTGCAGAACAATACATAAATGCTAGTAAAAAAAGTATGGTGGAAAGCTAATACTGAATTGGATTTCAAAAAATGCAACCGACAACGAAACACGGAAGTGAAAGTGTGATGGTCTGGGGATGTATTGCTGCTTCTGGAGGAGACAATTTAGTAATAACAGATAAAATAATGGATAAACATTTACATTTAAATATTTTAAAAGAAAATTTACAAAATAGTGCAGATGACTTAGAATGAATTAGATTTATGAATTAGATGAATTTTATTTTCAGCAAGACTGTAACGCAAAACTTACGCCTACATGTATAGTGCGTCAGTGGTTGTTAATACCAATACTCCCCACAGATTAGCAACTCCTCTACAATTGCTGGACTTAAATCCTATCGAATATGTACGGGCAAAACTAGAAAAAAATGTGTGAAAACATGATATAACGTCGAAATAACACTTAAAAGAAATATTAAAAAGAGGATGGTGTAATATGGAACCTGACTTCGTTAAAAGTTTGGTGTTGTCAATGATATATTACGTCAAGTGATTTGCCGGAAGGATTATCATACAAAATGTTAATTTATAAAATTCCTGCTAAAATAATTGCAGCAATAATGAAGTGTTCGAATACTTTTGTTCTGGCGATTTCTTACAGTCTCGTGAATTTCAAGTCATTTCAAGTTACTACATGATGTTATTGCCTTCGGTTTTAGGTCATTTGTTGCTGCAAGTGTAATGTTTAATATACAGTATGTGATTAAATATATTTAATAATATAGAAAATATTATCCTGTTTATTTCTATATTTCAAGTGTACGAATACTTTTATCCTCTACTGTATGTGGAAAGTTAATTTACCTCCTACATGCAGTTATATTCGTTTCCGCAACCGTTACAGAAATAAACGTACAATATTCCTAAATTTGCTAACTGGGAAATGAATTCCAATTGCTACAAAGATAGTAAAAATATCTATACATATATTCCAAATTCATAAAGCTTCAAAACTCTACATCCCCAAATATTCTCAAATTTCTTCCCATATTTACATTTCCCCAAATTCCACGATTTCCAAACTCTCAACCTATCTTCAAACACGTTAGTCCTGAAAACTGCCTAAAAATCAATCAGTGAAAGTCTCTTCACCCTCTGTTGTCACACTTCCTCGCAAAACCAGATTTACCGTCGACTGTACATAGAGGGAGGGCGTAAAGGGACGATTTGCACCTGAACGAAAAATTCGTAGGGACGAACATTGCCCCGATAAAAAAGGAGCACCGCCCAGACGCATCGGGACTCCTGTGTGTCGATTAATTTCTGCGGTGGGTACACAATTAGGGGGAGGAAACGGAGGGTTGAATGTTAACCGCAGCCAACCAATGAGAGATCGACTCTGTCGAGTGGAAGCTACTCGAGGTTCCCTTCAAACATCTGCGAATAACTCGTGTGCGTGAACTTGCGTACAAAAAGGGCTCGAAGGAAGAAAAGGAGAATCGAAGTGTTTAGCGACTTCTTTCTACGTTTAAACCTCTCATTTGAACCTTCTGCGGTGGACGGTTTAGAAATTAACTAAACTTTTTACATTTCTCTGGTTAAGTTTCTGGTCTTGATTAATTTCACAAATTAGTTCGATGTATGGTACGAATTATGGCGTTTGCAGTCGTTACTTGAAGTTATACTTTACTTTTATATTTTCTATTGTCTTCATTTTGTCAAATTTTCTTTGTTGTCAT